AGACCTCTATCTTATCTTCTTGTTTTTCAGCATATCACTTGAACTGTCCACTTGCTTAATCTTGGCATTTCCTTTCCATTAGTTCTCAGGTAATTAAATTGATGGTAATGCTCTACTGTACTAAATACGTTTATTGAATTCTTTTTTAGCGCAAAGACAACGTATGCCACATAACATAATCGCACAATTAATATTTCACTTGATCGCTATTGTTAATAATTATGTCTACATTGTTATCTTATAAATGTGTGTTCAATAAACAATATATTTTAAAACCTCTCATGCGGCTATTATCAACTCAAAGTGTAATTTAATTTAATGAACATTAATTTAATTAAAATTCACATAATTATTATCTAAAATAGTTAATTTAATTTTACGAAAATGTGAATAATATTGTTAAAAACTAAAATTAATTATTATGTAAAATTTTTAGTTTAATGATTTAATATACATACTAAATACATAATAAATATACATATTAAATATTTGAATACTTTAATGTAGCGTTATAAAATCTACGTTAAAAATAATTCTTGGTTACGAGCAGTACACTGGCACGCGCATCCCGTCGTATTACTGAATAGACCACGGGTATAAGGATAGAAATTAGGAGCGGTCTAAAGTTTGATAATTAAGAGAGCACTATTCGCTAGAGTGGTTTGTAAGTTACGATGGAGTGTGCGTGGTTTAGCTACCGTTATCTTCTATATACGTGATACTCGAGCGCCGTTGCATCTTAACTTCGACCTTCGATCCGATCTTCGTGGTCCTCTCTGCGCTCCTTGGCTGGCGCAGTTAATGCCACTCCTATCCTCTTAAGATATCGCATTATCACTAAGAAGCTTTCCGCGCAGGACGCAAACTCTCCGCAAGTATAAAAGTGGATCGGATTAAAACTTAACGTGGATCTTCGCATAATTGCATTTCTAACAAGCACACCCATTGCGACGAGGTAACGGTGACCTACCTCGATTACATGGAGCTCTATTAAACGAAGTGTCGCGCCCATCCGCCAATCAAATTCTTCTTGTGGCAAAAACTTATTACTAAGTGGCGAATTAATCGATAATAAATCGGTAAATGTTTCGTTTTGAACGCCTCATAATTGGATCGTATTATTAAACTTATTAATGTAATATATTGATTTATTGTTCTTTTTTTGTTTTTATAAATATTTAAAATAAAATTTTAATATACTAATCGAGATGAATTCTCATATCCTGTTGTGAATAATGCTACTCGTTGTTGCGCGTCACTTCGTTTAAGTTGTCTTTACGCCCGTCTATTCATTACCTCCTTTTGGTTCTATCGTTCTATCGCTCGCAACTTCTGACTGAAACCCGACGGTGTTGAAGTTAACCAGAACTTATACCCAGTTTATGCACCTGTCTCTTCCCTCTTATAACCTCTGTAAACGTGGCTGCGGCCTTTGCCGCAAGCTGCTATTCCTGCGAGCGCGAGATTGCAGCCTCTACATTGTAGAATTCGCAACCTGGAACATCATCGAAGAGCGTATCAGGTTCACGCACCGCTGGCATAATATCAGGCATGATTCAATATAGTTAGCGCGTCTTCTATTAAGATCTGTTAGTAACAAACTCAATTTCTACGACCAATATTATGACGCGGAATGGACTTTAAATGTGAGCATTCATGACTCTTTATCCAAACTAAATTCTGAATTTCGTGATTCAAGATATTAGCTTTCTGATTTTACACGAGCATAAGTACAGAATAGTTCATTCGTAACACAAAACTATTTTTTGTTCGTGCAGAATTACAATTTTAAGGGATGAAACACCTCTTTGAAAAAAAAAACCGTTTTTTTTTTTAATTATTTACTTTATATCCCCACTTCCCCTATTTTAAAAAAATTTTTAATTTTTATATAATGGAAATTAAAGAGCATTTTATACTGAAAAATAACGATGTATGTATATTATACAATAATTATGTTCTGAAAAATCATTTTTCAAATATGAACGAAAACGTCAATATACGCGCTCTCTACGTATTCGTCTCATCGGGCTGCGCGAAATGGCGTGAAAAGCAAATACGATACAATCCATCAGCATAGTATCAGTATAGTACCAACTTATTGAAATAAGAGGTTTTATATAACAACACAACAACAACAACAACAACAACTATAATAATAATAATAATAATAATAATAATAATAATAATA